GGATACTATTTTGAATATAGGCTTCTTTGAAACTATACATTTGCCAACTTGACTAAAAATCCAGCTATTTCGCGCCATGTGCTAATGTCAATATGGTAAAAAAAGCAGAAAGCTGTGTGAGCATGATATCTGAAATAGAAGGCTAATCTAATCTAAATCCAGATAACATGCTAATTATAAATCCCTCGAGGTAAAAATACGCGAACTTGGCATTTCAACAGTCTGCATTCAAAATGTTTTCTTAGCAAGTTCAAATCTATGATATAATTTTCATCAATCTTCCTTAGTTTTCCTTTGAGACCAATTCATGACTAAAGGTTTCTTCAAAACCCTCTTCTCTCTGTTCTCTTATTTCTAGTCGCGTCCTCCTCCTCCCTTTCTTGCCTAATGGCAGCAGCCACACAGCCCCATTCACAAAGAACTGCTCTACATCCGCACTCTCTGCTCGCAGCTTTTGAGCAAGTGAAAAGTGTCGAGATCGGTCTTCAGGCATCCGCTTTTCAGGACACAAGACCCGCCAGCTCCCCGGCAGCTCCGAGAGGCCTGAGCGCCAACGGGCCTGTGGGCTCGCCTTCTTACGACAAAACTCTCGGCCGTCCTCCGAACAACACCTCGTCTGCTGCGGCTTTTCGTCAGCCTCACAGCGAGTCGACTGTCGAATTGGACCGACAGTCGTCGCAAGTAGAGCCCATCTTGCTGAGCAAGTCGGTACAGGCGAGCCAACCAAATCAAGCTCTGCATAAGACTCTCGAATCCGATGAGTCCCTCTCCGGCGATTCGAGGAATTTGAACATCCTGCACGCCGCCGTTACCAATGCCTGCTCAGTTTCATCCTCTTCCTCCTCCTTCTCCTCCTCCTCCTCCACGACCTCCTCCTCCTTCTCGTGCTCGTCGAGTCCTGAGGACCCTCCAAACAGTGTCGGAATGAACTGCAACACTGGCGTTCAAGTGATACCTGCTGGCTCTAACGAATGCCTTCCTGAAGTCGATCGTCAAATAGACCCTTTTTGCTGTCCGGATTTGTCACCTTCCAGTCACGGTAAGAGGTGAACTCTCTGTCAGCCCTGCGATACTTTGACAGAACAGTCTACCTGCTTAATTTATATGACGAAAGGCTGGGTTTCAAGGAATCACGACTTCATTTCGATGCAATCGTCATTTCTCTCACCAGAAACTTAATTAGTATCTGTATTAGAGTAGGGTTTTGAGACTACCAGTAAATCATTGTAATGAGATGTATTCACCCTATTTCGTGTAAAGTAGTAGAATTGTCCTACAATGATATAAGTTGAGCTGACGTTTCAATTGAATTTCACATAGCCTTCCTTTCCCAAACGTGGACTGCAGTTTCGACCTCTCATCGGTCTTATCAACACCCTCAGCGGGAGTCGAACCGCGACAGTGCAGGACGGTAGCTTGACACGATAACCATCTCTACACTGCCACGAGTACCCTTGAGTCACAGGGCATAAGTGAATTTCAAGGAAGGTCAGGCCTCTTTTGCTCACTGCCACGAGTACCCTTGAGTCACAGGGCATAAGTGAATTTCAAGGAAGGTCAGGCCTCTGCTATATCGTATTCT